TTCACCGTGCCACTCATAATGCATTCCACATCTGGAGGTATCACTTAATATAAATCTGCATGCATTTTCTATACTACTGTGTGCTCTGTGATACAGAGGAGCTAAGAACTCCAAAATTTGTTACTGACTTAAAATGGTAGGGTAGGATTCTAGAGCACGTAGTTAGATATTTCCATTGCCTTAAGGTCTTGTAGGCCTCATATGTATGTAAGGAAAAAATTGTATAAAAATGCAGCCCAATCCTGTAAATGCTTCTAGCATGTTTCAACACATGTTAGTCAGGTACAACTGCATCAGAGCATAGAATATTGTTTGCGTATTGAAGAAAATTTTTCCAACATTTCATTTATTCACAAAATTGTTACAGTTAGGGCGTTCTCAGCATCTCTGAAAATCATCATTTGACCTTATTTTTCTTTTCATTTTTAACGGAAAGACAATATGCTCATGTCTTGATGCTGAAATAGTATAGCCACATAGTTCAAAAATAATGCTGTGTGAATATCATCACAATTCAAAGCTTGTGTTATCATTTCAATATGGACACAGTGCTTTTTTCATTCATGAGCAAACTGAAATCAAGGAAGTTCAGCATATACTGACTGTGACAAGTATGATTAATAAGGTGTGCAATTCCTTGATTTAGGGAGTATTTTCTAAATATTCCTCTACAGTAGTGCACTCAAAATATTATTTTAGTAAAAAATCTTATTGCTACTTTGAATTAATAGTTTTCTAATTTTTTGTCTTAATTCAGTATTTTCTTACTTTTCAGTGTGGTTTTTAAACATCCAAGAAAAATTCTCTTTCCATATTCCACACAATAAGGATCATTCAGACCATAAAAATAACATAGTCTATTGTTAACAAGCCAGACAGGAATTTTCATTGCATACTGAAACTCCCATCATTTAACTGGACAGCATAAAGTTAGACATGTCAGTTTTTGGAGAGCTGAAATCCAGGATGTACACAACTTGTTGAGAAAGGAAAAAGTCATTAATCTACGGCTTGACTCAATGTCTACTGAAGTCAAGGAAAAGATTAAATTAATTCTAGTTGGTTTGGAATGAAGCTATGGATCATCTACAGTTAAGTTTCCTCCACCAATTAAATTATTACATATTGCTGAATGATAAAATTGGGGTTTTTTCTTCCTCAAGAGAGCAAAATAAAGCAGAATAAATTCTAAATTATTATTTTCTTTTATTTTAAATTGTTATGAGTTCTAAGTAATGGTTGCAATTCAAGGCAAAGCTTAGCTTTTTAGTGAGCATTCTACAATTTTATTTGCAAAGTGTTCTGCAGACTGAGTAATCTGTGCAACTGACCAGTGACTGACTGCTGGAGTTAAAATTATGAATAGTATGCCCTGAATTCTGATGAGGAGGACTTTATATTCAATAATTCTCAGTCTGAAAAGGACATATAAACATTTATGTTCTATTTTTACAAAGCTGATTGCTTTATTGATTCACAGCGTTGCTCCTTCTTTAAAGTACTGGATGATTTACTTCCCTAGCAAAAGAGAAGGTGACTGTTTTTAGAGAGAGACTCAGAAGTGTCTTTGTAAACACCCCCTTAAAAAAAAAAAAGTCTCTTAATAGTTTCATAGTTTTCTTCTCTGTCTCTGTATAACGTTCAGAGATTGTTGTATAACCTGATACAGTCTAAAACACCAAGGAAGAATCAAGACCATATCATTAAGATCTTTGTAGTTTGTTCTGTAACGAGGATATAATTTTCATATACTCTAGGTGTTCTCCTTCTCTCCTATACTCTTCTGGCTCGTAAAAAGGTTCAAATAATCAGTTTCTATTTCTCTCTTTAGTCATGTTAGTATATAACATAAGTACTAATAATGTTTACAAGTTATACTGGCATGAACTATACAAGGCAGAAAAGATAAAGTAATATTGCTATGTAACTTCATTAGAAACAGAAATTCTAACAAACACCCCATTCACCAGTTCAAATAAGCAGAAAGCTGCATTCCCTGAGGGAGAGAAAGTGTAATTAATGCAGCACAATGCCAATTCCATGCTGAGGTTCTCAATGCTGGAAATCTGCATTTTGATGCTGTCTGCACACATATTGTTTTCTAAGAGTAATTATCACCTAAGTCCAAAATGTAATATGTGGCCAAAAATGACATAACTAAAGTAAATTACAATAGTAAGTCACTTCTTTGAAGCTTCATCTTGAAATTTTGGGGAACTGTTTCAGATTGAAAAACTATGATTTAAAAATACAGAAATGTAGAAAAAATATTATGTTGCATGTGTATCTGTTTTGATCCTCTTACCCATGATTACAGGGACAATCTAAGAGGAAATATATTCTGAACAACATAAATTAATTTAAATTTAACAGGTGCCAGGAGCAATTCTTGCGGAAAAAATAAGTGACAGACAGAAAATGCTAGAATAAAAATGTAAGTAGACACAGTTGAAAATTCATTTTTATGTGATCACAATTCTATTTTTCCACTGATAACGCTTTGATGTTTTGCCTAAAGTGATAATTATCTCATTTAAATAGAGCATCTGAGGATATACTCTAAGACCAAGTAGCCAGACAGATAGTAAGTGGTAAATATAGCTTTTGATCTCTTTCAAAGGGGTCTCCTCAGCACCGGAATTGCACGTATTTGACAGTGATGCTTATAAAGAAGAACTCCATGTGACTGGATTTCACAGAGTCCAACAGGAGTTTATACATTTACAGTATTATATTAAATATTTTCTTGAAATAAGTAACGAAGAAGCAAATTTGAAAAGCTTGTCTTACCCTACTCCACTCAAAATCCTTGCCAAAAAAAAAAAAATCACCAAATATTTTAGAAAACCCATTAACTGCTGTTAAGGTCCATGTTCTGCTCATCTGTTGGTCTCTTTTTAACATAATGGTATGTCCACAAAATACTTTTTTTTTTGCTATTAACCTTTCTGTTCAGAAAAGTTGGTGGCTGCAGTCCTGTGATAAGATGACTTCTTTTTTATTGTTTATTCTCTGTTTCTGTTCTGTTGGGGGGAGACACTTGATTTTGGGGGTGGTTTTTGTGGGCTTTTGGTTTTGGTTTCCAGAAAAGTGGAAGAGGTAACAGATGCTGAAATCAGGTAAAAATCACTCTTTCTTTGGAGGAATTACTAAGCTTGCTTAGTGGGCACACTGTGCACTACAAGGTTCAGCTGGCCAGGAAGAGAAAGAATGCAGCTGGAAAACTGCAGGTTATAAAGAGACTGAGAAGTGGCACTGAGAAGAATAGAGCAGACGAGTGATGCTACAGACATGATCAAAAGTTTAGGGAACAAAGCAACTTGAAATGTCATTCAGTTAACTGGTATTAAGCCTGTAAGAAGGCAATTGCTGGGCAGAACAGAGCGGGTGAGAAGTGTGTAAATAATTTTAATTCTCTTTTTGTTGTCCTTATTTTCTTCGAGATATATTTTAATTCAGAAATATTAATGTTGTATTTTTAATCTAATAAAATTTGAGTTTTCTACTTTAAAAGTCTTTTGGTCTGTGATTTGCTACAAAAAATATTATAGGCTTATTCACTTCAAAGCTCTGGTAACTGGAGGTCTTGTCAAAGTGAGAGAGTGACCATTTTACAAGAGGGAGGACAGGGGGTAAAGAACTGCTATAAATTCTTCAAAGTGAGAAAGATTAGTAGATAGTTGTCACATAGTTTAATATCAGGCACCCTCATTTGTTATTATGATTAATGCCTTGGGTGACAGTACAGAAGATATACAAGTGTATATCTTGTCATGAAATAGAGAATCAGACTCTGTACAAACCAGAGCAATAGAAAACCACACGTATTTGTAGGTGACCATGCATGCCTTGTCATATGTGCACACACATTAACTTTAAATTTTAAAATGCAACTAAATGTAAAGTGCTTCAGGTGGGCATTCTTATTCTAACCAATTATGCATTTTATTTACATTAATGATACAGGACTCCAGCCAATGCAAAATACTAATCTCAAGGCAGCCAGTTCTCTATTGCTTGAGGTTATATCAGTGTGTAATTTCTTAAAGTATTCTTCATTCTCCAATTCAGACATAAATCACAGTATTGACACAGAGTTACTAATAAAATTACCTCTTACTGTGGTATGAAGAGCAGCCTATATGACAACTAGAGCTTGTGAACTTAAAATTTAATACTTATATAGGTTTGTGAATAATGGCACCAGTTAATGAATTTAAAAACTATTTTATCCCTCAGAACTTGTTAGATAATACAGGAAATCGAATGAAGCTGTGTAAATTTTCAAACAGGCTGTATTGGAATCCTTGGTTTGCTGACAAATTATGGATTTTATATTATATACATGACACATTCTTTGTTTGACAGAGCTCTAGCAAGTACACAGTCTGCATCGAACTTTCCCTGCAAAGATCAGTTTTGACAGTAGGCAACATACTGTGTAAACTACATGCCAGACTCAAGGGTGATAGAGATGTACACCCCGCACATCCCTATGCCGTACATCCCTATGCCCATCATGTAGGCAGGAAATGGTTGGGTCAGTGACTCACTAAATTATAATCAAATTCATTTGTACTTAGAACAAATTTGTAGGCACCTACATTTTGCAGAGACTGACTCCTTTCAATAGCCTATTTTACATGCTTAAATTAGAGATCTGAGTTTCATTACAGCACTCCTAGTTTCAGAGCAATTTCCCTGAGAAGTTGCCAAGGGGGTTGAAAGGTAAGGTTAAGGACGTATTGGGTGTTAAATCGATGCTGAAAGCTTCAGAGAATTTACCAGTTACTAAAGGCATGCAATTTTAATCCAAGAAAATAATTTGGTTCTTATGTAGCACATGCATACTTATCCAAGAGGTATCCAAATCAGCATTTTTATATCACATATTAATAATAAACTTTTCAAAATATTGAAAAATATTTCTGAAATTTATATTTACTTTAAAGTCAGCACCACTAGTGAAATTTATATAGCTACATGAATATCTTTGGTACCTGTAAGTGATATGTTTGTGTTGCCATTTCTGTCCTGTTAACGCGTAGCGTTTCCGACGAATGTTAAATTTGGAGCTACCTCTTGTTTGGTCAGGCACACCACATCGAGGCTTCTTCATCCAGCTGCAAGAAACAGCACCACATAGTTAAAGGAAGATGAAAGAAAAATCATGTCAAATGCACCCAACCCATAAAAACATCGTACTTTTTTTTAAGTTACAGTATTATCAATTTTGTGTTTACATGCAACAATGACTAATAAAAGGAACAGTTATCTTGTGACCAGATGTATACTTTGTAGAACTTCATTGCATCCCATGATATTCAGAAACCAATTTCTTTGCTGTTATTTTTCCTAGTTTTCTTTTTGACCTCTGAACAAAGACGTCACATCTGGACAAGTCTTTAACAATCAAAAATTTATTCTGATTCATTCAAGGTAATTATGATCTGTATTACTAGCTTGCTTGCTGAAGATGAAGTTAAAGTATATACACAAAGATTGAGTCAAACCCTAGTTCCTAAATTATTTTTTGCATTCTGTGATCCTTGTTTTTTGTCTCATTTTCATATGATATTTAAACAAGCCTTGAGTTCTTTTAAACAAAGAGCCCAGTCAACAACCAGTTTGGTTTTTTTTAATTCCAGATACTGAAACTAACTTCATTATGCTATTAAGTTCTTCTGTCTTACTCTCTTTCCATACAGTGAAGAGTATCTCATTGCAACTGTAAGCTCCTAGTAGAGATATTTAACTCAAGAATTCTGCTTAAGAATATTTAATGTTCTGCTTAAAATCAAGCTGAAAAGATCTAAATGACAAAACCCAAAAATGGCCATTGCAGCAGTACCAGGCTTTCCACAGAATTGTTCGATTTTTACAGTGGCCTCCAATATTTAAATGTTTTCCAATATTTCAAAAACATCAAATTTGTCAGCATTCCAAATATGTCAAAATTAGGATGATATATAATTCAAAAGCATGAGTTCAACAGCAGTATCATTGAACCGTTTCTCACAGTGTAAGGGGTTATTTAGTTTGAGTAAAAGTGAACAAAACTCAGCTGAAGTTATTATTTTATATGAGCTGAATAGCTGCGGAACAATCTACCATCAGGAAGATAGCAAGATTAAAGACATTCACTGCATAAATAAAAGACAAATCTCTTCTGTTACTTTTCCAGTTCATTTGACTTTATTTCTGTCATGCCAAATAATTACTGATGTAAAAGCTACAGTTTTCTGACGGTATTTATCACAAGAGTAGTCATACCCTATATTCAGGCTTGCATGAATGAATTTCTGACCATTAAACTGGCATTTAAGCATTGTTTCATAAATAAACATGCACACAGCAGCTGTATGTATGTATGACTGGATGACAGAAAAGTCATTTGAAATGTCATCTCAGAATGTAGACTCCCTTTAAAACATGTGGAGGTAAGAAAAACTCAAAAAAACAACCAACCAACCAACCAACCTTCATCTTTTCCAGTACATATTCTTAATTCAATATATGCAGAATGAAGAAAACCATCTTTTTTCCGTCAAAAGACAATTTGGAATATTTGCAGTACAAAAAAGTAGCAGTGTGTGTGTGTATAAAAAAACTACACAATGTAATGAAATAATTGATTTTTCAGTTTTGTACTCAAGGAATGAGATGTGCATTGTAAGTTTTACCCCTACTAATACAAGAAAAAACATATTGCATACTAAATGAATTTTTAGAGATTGCCTAATCCAGCCAAAATCAGCTACACCCATTTTCATAAATCCATATAAAGAGATTTAAAAGTACAGCCAGACTTATAACACTTCATATATGCTGTAGCTATGGATATATAGCAAACTATTGTTTGAATGCATAAGTAGGAATTAGGCTCACCAGCCTGTGTGAAAATACAAACTTTTAGGGATAGTACCAAGGTGGCACTGCACCCCACTTGCACTGATAAAGACTACAGAAGTGCCTGCTTTGATGGGAGACACATCCATGAAAATAGCACAAGTGGGGAAGCCAAAATTTATGAATTTGACTGCCTGAATTGAAGACAGTGAGTTCATAACTACTTGTTTCAAGTAAGAAGCACAGAATGATTTGCTCTAATTTCTGGTCAGAATAATTACAAAGTACGCATGGCACAGAAAATAGTTGACTATTGCAAAGACAATAACTGCAAAATCTATAAAACTTTACCCAACCAGTATTTTCTGAATCACCCTGCACCTTTGCTTCAGGTTTCTCTGTTTTTTTTAAAGAAGTGTCAATTCAACGAAGTAGATGTTAGCGATTTCTGGGATGAAATATTATTGAAAAGTTTCATTTGCTCTAATAATAAAAGAAATGAAGGAAAGAAGCAAATCTTAGTTACAGACCAAAGGGCAGTTCTATTCTTCCTCATAAAATGATATCATATTTACACTTCAACAAATGAGATTAAAATTGGTTCAGATCTCAGAAAACTTTTAGATACATTGTCAGTAATACTTTTTCGTGGTGCATGTTGTATCAGCATTCAGTTACCATGGATTTTATTGACAGAGTATATGTAAATTGTGCTGTTGAAACTGCACACACACATTGCAGAAAAAGACATATATGTTACAAAAGATCAGTGTTCTCACCTTAAGGTGATATTACTACATCGAAAGAAAGAAGCAAGGAATAAAGCAAAAACAAACAACTATTATATTTTGTTAGAAACAGTGTACAAAAATGTCAGGGTCTTGTCAGGGCATTGTTTCAAGGGCAATGACTTTAAGTCAACTGAATTAGGCCCCCACCCCCCCAAAAAAAAGTTTAAATTGTTTACTTTAATTGATGGTGACTTATTTTGTAACAGGGTTTGCTCACTGGCAAGCCAGGGGCAGATAAGTATAAATATAAGTTGTGAATTTAAAAATTAATCATCAAAGCTGTTATTTAAATAATCTCTGAAGTTACGTCAAAGGTTGAATATTCTTACAGAAAATCATGTTAACATAGAATGTTTTACACTTAAGATTTAATACAAAAACTCAAGAACATTAGGTAGCATGGATTCAAAATTCAACATTGTATTACTGACAATCCATTTTTAGCAAAATAAAACATAGCCCAAAATAACATGTTATGAAATTCAAGCAGTCACAATTTGTTCTTGCATAGTTTTTGAAGTGGTATGTACCTATCAAGAACATTATGCTTGTATCCTTACTGGTTTGGATGGGCAGAGGATGTTTCACGTTGTCATGCTGTCTGGCCCACTAATGTTCTTACTGTTCTTACACGGGGACAATATAAATCCCAATGTAAATCTAATGGAAGCCTTTGCACACATAGTTCACTAGCTTTCAAGAAATTATCTTCATGTAAATTTTAAGGAAATATGCAATTTACAGCTGAAGAGTCAGACTACCACCAAATCTATCACCTAGATCTTAGCTGAGCTAAGTTTAGCAGTCAGAATTTTAAACAAATTATTACATGGTTAGTATTGGAGTTCAGTATTTTCTAGCACAGAAATGAGGCAAAATGTTAAAAAATTCTGGCACATAAAATTTCCTTTTTTTTTTTAATATGTTAATTTTTTTTTTAAACACTAGTTGTTGTCACACTGGCTGGGAGGAAGACTTCTGTCAGTAGTAACCATTAAACCTTAAAAAAGGTGCATACTGGTAAGGGATTTGCATTTCTTTCATTGTTTCTGAATTTGTAGAAATCTTTCATGCAGCAGCTCCTCAAAATTAATACTTTATCAGTACTCAATAAAGAAGCTTAATTGTGACTAATATACTCTATCTGTAGACTATGTCACATCAAACTCCTCTCTTAGTTCCATTAGTTTAAATCTTGCAGAGCTATATATGTCAAGAGAATTAAAGCAGTTTAGACTCAGAGAAAATCTGAAAAGATCAAAATAAAAATATGCAGCAAAACTGTAATGCTCTGCCAGTAGAGAGAGCTGAAATTGAACTTCTCATAAGTCAAACCAGTTGCCTAACAATATTTTGCTCTTTGGGGGTTAAGAGGAAGACTCTATTTCTGTCTCCTCACTTTCTTAAGCCTCCAGGAAAAAGTTTTGGTCTAACATGGAATCAAAACATTAAAAAACCCTACCTTTGGTTAAAAGCTGCCCTTCATTTATCCCTAGCAAAACTACTGCTTAGTCTGTATAATAGTTTTGTTGATGGTGGTTTGGGTTTTTTTTTTTTTTGGCAAATGGTAAACTGTCACATATTTTTGGCCAAAAGAGAATATATGTACTTTCTGTGTAGATTAGAGGGAAAATTATTTTAAACATTTACAAAATACTGCCATAAATGAACAACAGGAAAAAAAAATTATCCTTTATTATATAGCCATACCTCCCAAGAATATTCAGTGGCGTTAACTGACGGAAACTTCAGGCCACAGCTTAATTTAATGAGTTTTGGTTTTTTCCTCAACAGCAATGCAAATGTTACAAGCCTTTATCAGTACTGTTCTCAACTTGACTCAAGTTAATGCAAGCCCAAATGTGCAAGTAAATTAAGAATTCATCCAGCACGAGTTATATGTACCTAAGAATTGCTGCACTTAAATATATCTTTCTGTGTAAAAGAAAATCATTCATCAAAATATTTGGAAGACTCACCATCCACCAGTTTGTAAAACTAATGTTTTGGACTGCTGCATAGATGGATTCCTTTGTTGTTTAAGTGAAGACAACCTTGCTGACTTGCTAGCCAATAAGCCTAATTTAGTGAACACAAACCACTTCCCTTTGCAATTAAAGTTTTGGTTTGGGTTTTTTTGTTGGTTTTTTTTTTTGGTCAGCTTGCTAGCTGATACTCTAAATGAAGAGACGGCCTCTGCTTTTCCTTAGGTTTCCACTTTCTACCTTCTCTGTACTGCTAACTGTGAACAGATTATTTTCCTTTTAGTGAAATATATTGCCTCTTACAAAGCTGCCACTAATGTGCCTTTAAAAGGCTACTAGTGACTGGTATAGCAGCACTCTCCCCTCAAGGATCCATCACTGAAGCTGTATACAGAGCCTACGCTCTCCGTCTTGCAGACTGGATCATAAACATACTTTTGAGCATGGCTCTCTCACAAAGCATTAGCTGCTATTGCACTGCATGTTCTAAGGTCCTTTAAATTCCTAAACTGAGGGATGTGTGATCAACTCACCTCCCCTTAGGGCAGCCCTAAAATCTGATTTGCTTTATTGCTTTTCAATGCAATAATGCATGTGCCAGTGGAATAAAATGATTTTTCCAATCCTGCCAGCATTTTGAGTAGTCTCTTCCCTAAACTCTAAATGATAGAAAAATCATTCATGTCAGCTACTTTACAAAAAAAGAATAATGAAAGATGACACATCGGGTTGGGGCTGGGAAATGGGAAATGAAGGAGGATCCCCCCAAAAAAGCATTTTAGATAAGTAGTAGAAACATATTTCAATAAAGTAAATGTTGTATATATAGTGACAGTACTATTTTGCTATTGCTTGCTCTTCAAGCAAAGTAACTTTTTTTAAAAATCACAAGATAATCTTTATTGCATTTTAATTGGAATGAGTCCAACAAGCACTTCAAATCTTAATCCCAGATATGTTTTCTTAATTGTGTACTAATATTTTTTTTATTTTTTTTTTGCATTTTCCTGGCACATTTTTAAAATTTGGCATAGTATAGAGTTGCATGGAAGTGTCTTAATAGCTCTGTTTCACAACGTTTCTCTGCATTCAGTCTGTCAGTAAAATCAGACACTGCCAGCCTTACACAACTCCAGAACTGCAAAGGGTATGCAAAACTAATCCAATTTTACTTCGTGTTAAAATGACCGCACCTGGACTTTTGTTACCGGAAACAATTAAATGAATGGGCCGGTGGAGTGTGCTAACATTTTTTTCAATGAGGATAAGGAAATTTGCACTAGAGATTTTCCAGTATGAAAAGGCTCTTTCCACTGTGAAACGTGTCATGAATTCTTGCCAATTTTGAACAGGCTTCCACACTTCCACATTGATAAACTTTTGGCCCTTTCTTCAGTTCACTCTGAAACATCTTCATTACAACCACATGCCCAAAGGCAGTTAGGCAGGTGACTACCTGCTACCACAAAATACAGATGCAACAAAAATAAGGGCAAGGAGGGAGAGAAACAGTTTAACACCCCATCTGAAGCTGCGACACTACGTGGCTATCCCGGTCACCCTGCTTCATGTGTTATAAAGTTTTTCCAGTTCTATTTTACCCTGCTTGAAACAGAAAAGTCAAGAGCAGTTCAGTACTGGTTACTTACTCAATTGTGTTCCTGTCCACTTTTCCTGTCATATTAATGCCATAGAACTGCTGCATGGCAGCTATAGCTGATTGCATGGTTTCTGCAGAGCGCAACACCGACATTCGGGGGTCAGTTGGTGGAAGGTAGCCATACTTTTGTAACCATACCTGCAATGACAAGTTCAGTGGCTATTAATTAGAAATTAGAGGTAAATAAAATATTCTCTAGTAATTAGTTTTGTACCATATATAACGAAGCTTCTAATTCACCAAGCATAAATCCTGTTTGGGTTTGGGTGGGGTTTTTGTTGGTTTGGTTTTTTTTTTTCAGAGAAGAAATTCTTTGGGACTTTTCTTTCATCTCCTTCATTAAAGATTCTGCTGTTTTAAGAGTTACACAGGAGCCATCTCTCTTTATTTTCTGAAACTGCCTGCTTCAATTATATATTTAATCTATTTATTTATTTGAAGTTACAACTTAAGCACCTAACCTTGGCTCTAGGCACTTCAAGAAATTTTTAAAGCAGGCAAAATATAAAAAAATCTACTATATATACTACACATAACTGACTGTCCACAGGGTACATAATAATATTCACCAACTACAATAATAAATCCACAATAGCTCTCAAACAGTTACACTATGTTGTTATTCTCTCTCAAAGAATATGAAGGAGAGGGTGGGGAGACATTCAGCTTTCCAAGAAGAATATCAAAATCACGTATTTATAGGCAAAGAAGGTGGCCAGGAGATAGTGAAATAGCAGTCTGTCCCCACTTACAGGAAACTCCCTGATAAGAGGAACTTTCTTTTTAAATCAAGATGGATTTAATGCCAACAGTTTAGGCTCTTAATTGTGTAGAAGTGAGAGGAAGAAGATATGGTCCAAATAACTGAAAGCTTTATGGGTTAAAGCCAATATCTTAAGAACATCTGGAAAAACCCTCTGAAACATGCTGTCCTCTTGAGGCAGTTTCATAAACAAGTAGCTGTGGTTATATTAATGTTTCTAAGCATCCTCAAAATCTAGCTTATACAAAGCAGTGTAAGACTTTTGAGGCAATGCGAGCACTGATATATCTTTAAAAATGTCTTAGCTTCTCATCTAAGGACTGGAACTACTCACTAGAATGAAAGGTACATATATTGCGAATCTACAACACAGTTAATTGTATTGCTGCAGCTTCACTTTCCCTGGTAACACAGTACTTGTGACCCCATGAATCTCATCTTCCATTCTTTAAAAAAGATGAATGAATAGATAAACAAATAAAAAAAATGGTTCAGCCACCTCTTTCAAATGTATCACGTCCCATTCCATGGATTCTGAATCATTACATTAATGAATGCTATCCACCCACTCTCCCCTTAAAGTGTGTTGTGGGCTCTGTCTGCCTCATGCAACACTTCTGGGTTTTTTATCTGTTTATACACACTGTTTATACCCATCCTAACACCAAAGTGTGTAGTCTACAATTTTTAGCCTTAAGTTTAGCTTGTAGAGTCCATCCGATTCAGTTCCATAGCAGGTTAACCAAGTTGGTGGTGCACTCCTCTTTCATGGACCCAGTGAAGATGGATGAACTCATTGCTATGGTTCGCTTTACTAACACTGAATGTGTATTATAGGTGAACATTGGCTCAGTGTAAATGAAAGATCAAACTGGCACTAAAGAGAGGGGAAATCTTCAGGTTATGAGTTCAGATATTTCTAATTTAAACAGGTTTACCTTCCCATAGTGCAGTTCAGACACAATCCCAACAATGTTTGTGAGCTCCACATAAGAGGGAGATACAGTACAGACAGGATAAGACCCAGCCTAACCTCTTTCACTTTCACACTATCTCTATATACAGAAGCCATTCAGAATAAGAACAAGATTTTGTTTAATAGATAGGAAGATGCTCTTATTTCCACTATAAATTAATTTCTACAATCAGTACCTACATCCAGCTTTACACATTCCTGACATCTTGCACTTTTCAACTTCAAGAGTGAACTTGTGAACACTAAGTTTGTGCTAGATTTGGGTCATCACACAAGTAATTTAGTTTATATATCACTTTGCACAAGAAGTCTGTTTTTCCTTCCATTATTGGAAGATAGATCTGAAAGGGCAGCTAGTGCTGGAAGGCTGGCAAGAGCAATGCAGTATGTGGGAACAAGACCATAGAAGTAAGAAATAAGTATGACACAGAGTGGGTTGATTTCAATGTAGGGTGTAGAGTCCGTTTGAATTAGTTATTTACAACTACTATATTTGAGAGTGGGGTTAGTTCGATATTCACTTTCTCAAGTTAGTGATATTAAAACAAGTGATGAGTCAGGGAAGAAAAAAAATTCTGAAAAGCATGTCAGCATTGTCTAAAATGATGCCACCTTTTTGCCACCTTCTCAGCATGAATTTAGTATGCAGACACAGAGCAGGGCTTTTCATGAAGCTCTCCTTCAGGTGCTAAGGGCACACAAAATTGCTTGGTAGGTTTGTGAGGCCACCTATCACCGCTCAAAACCGTCCTCACTGTGGCGTAACTGAAGGAGACAGAGGTGTGGCGTTAAAAGCAACCAAATTTACCAGGAGGTATACCTTCAGATATCTGAATTAAAAAAGCTATAAAGAGATAGAGAGAAAAAATAGCTTGGGGAGTATGTCTCATGGGAGAAGTGGAGAGGAGAAACTGGAATCTAGCAGTGTGCTACTGCAGACACAGAAAAGGAAAAGAGAGGTGGCCCAGAAACAGCAGGAGAGGACAGTGTAGCCTTCCTCCTAAAAAGTCTTAAATACAAGTTAAATACCGGATGCCTGATAGTCATTCCCTATCACTGAACAAAGGAAGTAGACTACCTGGGTCTTCCCTCAACCTTCAAAATAGCAACAAGAAGACACAGCCAACATACCACAAAGTCAGATGACTCTCTGAAAGCAAGTTTCTTTTTTTTAAAATTCAGACAAGTTGACCTCCAAGACTAATAACTGGTGAATGCTTGAGAGCTAGTAGCATTTAGTAGCACTCAGTGCTACTAGTGTTCTGGCCTTGTGAGAAAGGATCATAAAACAAGATAAGGGGCATCTGGTTCCTGTTGCATTCCTCAGATTTCTCAGTTCTCTATGAACAAATTTTGAAGGACCTTGGCTCAGTCTGACAGATATATGAAATATGCCCCTCAGCTTCTATTGTGTATAGTCTAAATGCTGGAAACTATGGAGGAGAAGCTTAACTTTAAAATTAAGTCCAAAACACATAGGTGAGTAAAACAACAAGGAGAAAAAAAACAGAATGAGGCAGACACAGCAGGAGAACAAAGGAAAACAATTTTCTCAGAGTCTTGTATTTTTGAGGCAACCTGTTGAAGAAATTATGACCGCAAGAATTTCCCCCTCCCCCTCTACTGAAATTAAATGTTCCTCTGCCTTAATGTACTTCAGCAATGACAACGCAGTTTTGGCAACCCATCTATCATCCTGAGGAACTCATCTGTCTTGGAACAAGGAAATAGTGAAATAGATTCATCTAACATGTAATGTCTGGGATGCCAACAGAGACGCTTTGCACAGACTCCAAAATCAATGGTATGTCCCCTTCCTTTATACAGTTTAGGAAGATAAAGTACTGCTACTTCAAATGAAGATTTTGGGCAGGACTTTCTTGTCCTGAATCAAAATGTAAGCCATGGTAACCTCTCATGGTAACCACAGAAAAACACAGCTGGAAGACAATGGGTTCCACCACTTCCCTCTTTATTACAGCGCTTTACTATCCTACTGTTGTGAAGTTTGCCTCAGAGTTGAATCTCCATTACTATAATTTAAGCCTATAACTTCTCATTTTACCTGCCATGGGTGAGGGGAATCGATTATTCCTTTCCCCTCTGCAGCAGCCTTTTAAGTCTTTGAACTCTTTTATGTGAGCTGTTCTGTTTAATCCTATTTCATTGTCCACATTAGCCTCCAGGAAATTAGAAGCTAAAATCTATCTTTGCTAAGCATCTGCTTGCACTAGATTTGCATGTTAGTTCCCATTATAGGCTAACAAACACTGGAGTTTAGCTGAAGTATTAGGAGTAATTCAGAACACGGACACACAAATGCTTCATTTTGGGGAAAAAAAAAAAAAAAAAAAAACCAACCCAAAACCCAAACAAAATACCAAAACAGAAATAAAATTAGCCTAAAAATATTCTTCTCACTAAGTGAACTTCAAGGCTTATGTCCCATTTATCCATAGATTTTAAAATTCTAAAACCATGCTTTACACACACTTTTTCCACCAGAAAAATTCCTTCACCATAATTCCATCTTCTCTTATCATAATTCTAGGGAAAAATGTAAACAGAATCCATTGGTGATGAAAGTTGTAGAGATGTCAGGAGTTTGTTGGAGACCTGCCACTTCTGCAGAAGTCCATGGAACTTGTAAGTGCTCAGCACATGAGCTGTATCTCCTTCCAGATTTTGGACGTCATTGACTAGATGCCTAAGGTTCGAGGGTTTTTCTGCCATGATGAAAAGATCTTTCCTTTTTAGCTTGTAACTGCTATGCTGTATGGATCATCTGGCTATGGAATAAATAGCACTTTGTCACGTGGCTGTATGTTTGCCTCCTCTAAAGGATAAAGGATGGGCTAACTTAAAGGGTATTAAATACACCAATGGACTTCTGTCATTCAGATCTTTGCTAGTTTGGGAAGAAAGAGTGCTCTTAAAAACAGAATGTTGACACCAAACTGTTACTAAGAGCAAAGAAAACCCATATAACATGAATAAAGATTAAGCAAGAATATTATGATGATAATCAGAGTTTCAGAAAGCTTACTGGTTTCTGAGATAGAAGAGAAATTACCAACAAATTATTAACATTACTGAACAACAGTACATAATATAAGCTACAGTACAATTACGTTCTATGAACCCGAAAGTTTGGTAAATTAGTCTAATAAAGCACAGATGAAAGAAATTTCATAAACACCTTCAGTAGTCCAGCTGCATATCATTATAAATCTTGTATTCCTGTTCTTTTTTTAGATTTTATAATGCAAACAAAATTCCTATCTCTACTGAGTAAAACTGAAATTTCATAATTTCAAAATATTTTTACTTTTATTTTTTAATACACTTCCACCAAAGACACTGTAAGTGAAATGTTTTTAATTGTCTGAGTATTTCAGG